CTAGAAAACCTGAAGGTGTTCCTTGGATCTGGGGCCTCTTTATGTGGTTAGGCTGTGAAAAAGTCTCACACATATGGTACGGTACTTGGAAGGAGTAGCAGAATATGGTTTGGGGTGTAACTCTAAGTATGTCTATGATGTGTTTTAGAAATATCTTATTAATTAACAAATTTGTGGAAAAAATAAACGTATTTTTATTCCACATTTTTGAAAAACTTAGGCAATGTAGTAACTTTGTGGGTGTTTCTAGTGTCCTGATGCTCCAAGACCACCAAAAAATGTCAAAAGCATGTGGTAATGCCATATTCAGGAGGCATAGCAGGATGTCTTTTGAGGTGAAATTTGTATGTATGTCTATGATGTCTGTTAGAAATAACTTGTTAAAATAACAACTTTGTGAAGAAAAAAATATTTTACCTAATTTTTTATTCATATTACTAAATATTGTGACCAAAAATTACAGCATCAAACATGCTTTTTACTAAATACCTTGGACGGTCTACTTTCCCAAAATGGATCATTTGGGAGACATTTGTACTGTCTTGGCATTTTAGGGCCTCAAGCAATGAGATAGGCAGTCAGTACATCATGATTAATGAATTCTCAAATATACTGTATCTACCATAGTTTGTAGACTCTATATCTTTCCCACAGACTAAATAATACACACTGGGTTGGGGTTATTTTTGCCAAACAAATATAGCAGGATACATTTTGGCCTAAATTTATGAAGAAAGATTTTGTATTTGCAAAAAGTTTAGAACAATTTTCTTTCCAAATGTTTCTGTTTTTTTCCCCTTTATATAGCATAAAAATAAAATCAGGCAGTGGTGACTACCACCAGAAGAAAGCTGTTTAAAAAAGGATATAAAATTAATTTGGGTACAATGTTGCATGACTGTCATTCAATGTGTGACAGAGGTGAAAACTGAAAAAAAAAATAGCCTGGACTAGAAGGGTGTAAAACAGTCCAGACTTGAAGTGGTGAAACTAGAAAATGGTCTTTACTTCTTTAAACTTTGACTTCAATGGGGTTCATATTTGTCACCCAAACTTTAGTCACGTTCAGTGAACTGACCTTGAACTGAACTACATTCATCTCAACCCTTATCTATAATAATCACAACAGTAACAGGTTACACATTATACTGTACTATATATATAACATTGCAGCACTACTTTCAATTTGTTCTGTATGCCACATAACCCAAACCCAACAAACAAAAATAATAGTGTAGTGACAAGGACCATTAAGTCCCTTTAAGCTCCACTTAAGGACATCATCACACACAAAAAGTGGGGCTTAATGACATTATCACACAAAAGGAGGGCGACTTAATATCATCATTACACAAAAGGGGAAGTGTTGACATCATTGCACAAGAACCAGGAAGGAAGGATTTGCAGGTCTTTATGCTGATGCAAGCTGTTGTTGAATAAAGGTGTTTGCTAACATTACATTTTACCTGGGTGCACTAAATAATTTAATTGGGGTTTTAAAGGTTTTTAATAAATGTGGTTTTATCCACTTGCTTTCCAGAGGATTTACCCCCCTTCCTGACCAGGCCATTTTTTGCGATACGGCGCTGCATTACTTTAACTGACAATTGCACGGTCATGCAATGATGCACCCAATTGAAATTTATGTCCTTTATTTCCCACAAATAGAGCTTTCTTTTGGTGGTATTCTATCGCCTGGGCATTCTTATTTTTAAGCTATAAACAAAAAAAGACCGACAATTTTGAGAAAAAAAACAATATTTTTGACTTTTTGCTATTAAACATGTCCAGTAAAAAAATTTAAAAAAATCAAATTTTGTCATAGATCTAGGCCAAAATGTATTCTGCTACATGTCTTTGCTAATAAAAATCCAAATACCTGTAAATTAATTGGTTTATGAAAAAGTTATATCATTTACAAATGGCGGTATATATACTGGAATTTTTTTTTTTTTTGCTAGTAATGGTGGCGATCAGCGACTTATAGCAGGACTGTGGCAGGCATTGTGACACTGGGGGGAACTGACTTGGTGTCACTGACATCCCCAGTGAATCCAATACAGTGATCAGTGCTGATAAAATGCTCTGACACTGTACTAATGGCACTGGGCAGGAACAAATTAACACATGGGGTGATCAAAGGGTTAACTGTGTGCTGTTTCACTACTTGGGCTGTGTGTGTACTTCACACTACACAAAGCAGTGTGCAGGAGCTGACAGGGTAGAGATCTGTGTTGTTTATACACAGACAGAGGCGTGCCTAGGGTTGGAGTCACCCAGATCCATCCTGCCGGGATTGTCGACTTTCTTTACAACTTACCTTTTTGTGCAGTGGGTCCGGTGTCACCCCATGCGGTCTGCACCCCCCCCGCACCTACCTCGGGACACCACTGTACACAGGTCTCTCCCCCTCAGTAATACTTGGCAATCAGCGGGTGCTGGCAAGTAATCATCGGCAGGGACTCAGTAATTGACAGCCGAGGCTGCGAATGGTGGTGCAAAAATACAAAACCAGGTGTATATATGTCATTTCTCCTAGATTGTAAGCTCGAAAGAGCAGGGCCCTCGATCCCCTCATGTTTTGCATTGTATTGGTATTGTTCTGTCACATGCTCTGTCCCCCTCTGTAATGTACAGCACTGACCGAACTATTGGCACTTTATAAATACTGTATAATAATAATAATAATTTTGCACACCCCTGCTGCCCTTTAGAAGTATTTCTGCTATGGGGCGGAGGAAAAGCTGTTAAAATGGAAATACATTATGTGGTATGTTTTTGTTTGCTTTGAGTGGGGAAGTGGACATTATCTGGGACACCTGGCCCTAGGAAGGGGAAAAGGATTTGTATTACCTCTATAATGTGCTGGTCATTTTGTTAAGGTGAGAGCACATCTTGGAATGAAATACTTTGCAGGAGGTGGAGTGGAGTGAATCAGGAGGGATTGCAGAAGTGATCAGAGGTGCTATATACAGTATGTTATCCAACATATGAGACTGATACTGTATGTTATGTAATGTCCCTCTAGATAGCCAGGGGCAGCTAGTGTTCAATTTTTAGTTAGAAGGGCTGAGTAGCAGCCTGGGTGTAATAGTTAGCAGGGTTACATTCAGATAAGGGCTGGGAGGCTCTGCAGGTCAGTTCCCTGATACCTCCCCTGCTCTAGAATCTTGGAGAACATTCTAGAATCAGTAGGCAGGGGTGAGGAGGGGCTGGCCTGCACACTTAGGGGACCTTGACCAATCCCCAAGCAGGAGGCTTTGCATGAGGCCAGGGCAGCCTTTAAATGTGACAGAGCTTGCTCAGCAGCAGGAGAGTTTGTGTGGAAGATGGAGTGAGAATCTGAGGTGCAGGAGCATGGGAGGGGGCTCAGTTGGGAAGGGACCAACCTCCAGGCAGTGGTGATGGAGAGAAAGAAAGTTCAGACCTCATCCACCCCCAGAGTGAGGACCATCTGTGCAGCAGGGAAATAGCTAGCCCAGCAGAAGGCCTGAAAGCAGCTACCAACCCACCAGCTCATAGGAACAGGATTGAGTGAGTAATCCTACACCGCCTGGGCCAGTTAAAGTGGAATGGAACACTCTGGTGGAGAACCTGATTAGCTCCTTACCCTGTACTGTTTTTTAAGGTAGGCACTGGATCCCCTTGCCCAGAGATTCCTTTAGAGAGCTGGATAGAGGAGGATTATCAGGGGTCTGGGGTGGTACACTAGGAGAGGGTAAAGAGCTCTCCAAGAAGAGATTTTTCCTGTGTAAAGACTTGTACATAGTTCCCAGAAGTTTTCCTCAGTTGCAGTTTCTTTGAGCATCACATACACCCCTTACCCCATCCAAGTTATCATCCCCTAATAAAATCAAAAAAACCCAAGCTCAAGGATTGGTTACTGTCTCCTAGATGCAAGTCTGTGAGCAATGTGTGTTTCCTGGCTGTGCAGAACTATAGGGGGACCCAATTCTCTAGTGACTCCTAAGGGGGTAGTGCTACATTATACTGTATATGTTATTCAGCATGTGGGACTAATATAATTAACATTGTGTAATTCCCATTGTATTACACTTTTTATGAGTGTGGTTCATTGCACTAGAAATTAGTCCTTCTCACTACACTACACTATAATGCCAGCAGTTTAGACATCAATGGCTGTGTGTTGAGTTATTTTGAGGGGACACAACATTTACACTGTTATAAAAGCTATACATTCACTACTTTACATTGTAGCAAAGTGTCATTTCTTCAGTGTTGTCACATGAAAAGATAGAAGAAAATATTTACAAAAATGTGAGGGGTGTACTCACCTCTGTGAGATACAGTAGATACATGTTTATTGTTGGATTTTACATCTGGTGTTGTCTCCTAGCACTCCCTTTCTCCCCTTCATCTACACTGTTATATATATAGTGACCTTTTTTAGTGTGTGAAACTCGTATAAGTGTGAGCTTGCTACTGCTACCTGTATATGTAATAAGTAGACAATTAGCAGCACAAAGGTTTTTTGCATACAGCAGTTTAAACATACCATATATCTATTTATAATTTGTTACTTTCACAAAATAGAAAAGAAACAATAGCAATGGTTGGGGCTCTGCATGGAAAACACATAAGACCTTAACATAATATATTCATTCATGTGAAACAAGTGATTAATTGCAGCATTTTTGTACTTGTTAAAATAATGAAAATAACTACGATAAGCCACATTGTAAGAACAAACAAAGCCCAGATTCAACATTTAATCATTTCTAATTTATGTATTCACCATTTTTGTTCCAGTTTTACAGCGTTAAAATGGTGTGCTGTGCTATTCATACAAAACAGTGGGTAAATAGACATTTAGACAATTTTCAACCTTTAAAACATTTAATTGCATTTTTATGTACAAAAGAACCACACACACATATACACTATATTGCAAAAAGTATTGGGTCAGCCCTCCAAATCATTGGATTCAGGTGTTCCAATCACCTCCATGGCCACATTCGTATAAAATCAAGCATCTAGGCATGCAGACTGCTTCTACAAACATTTGTGAAAAAATGGAGCTCAGTGCATTCAACCGTGGTACCGTGATAGGTTGCCACCTGCGCAATAAGGCCATCCGTGAAATTTTCTTGCTACTAAATATTCCATGGTCAACTGTTACTGGTATTATAAGAAAGTGGAAGCAACTGAGAACAACAGCAACTCAGCCACCAAGTGGTAGGCCTTATGAAATGACAGAGCAGGGTCAGTGCATGCTGAAGCACACAGTACGCAGAAGTCGCCAGCTGTCTGCAGTGTCAATCGCTAAAGACCTCCAAAATTCATGTGGCCTTCAAATTAGCACAATAACAGTGCATAGAGAGCTTCAAGGAATGAGTTTCAATGGCCAAGCAGCTGCATCCAAGCCTTACATCACCAAGTGCAATTCAATGCATCAAATGCAGTGGTGTAAAACACGCCACCACTGGACTCTAGAGCAGTGGAGACATTTTCTCTGCTGTGACCAATCACGCTTCTCTGTCTGGTAATCTGATGGATGTATCTGGGTTTGGTGGTTGCCCGGAGAACGGTACTTTCTTGGCTGCATTGTGCCAAGTGTAAAGTTTGGTGGAGGCGGAATTATGATGTGGGGTTGTTTTTCAGGGGCTGAGTTTGGCCCCTTAGTTCCAGTGAACGGAGCTCTTAAGGCGTCAGCACACCAAGACATTTTGGACAATTTCATGCTCCCAACTTTGTGTGAACAGTTTTGGGATGGCCCCTTCCTGTTCTAACATGGTTGCGCACCAATGCACAAAGCAAGGTCCATAAAAACATGAATGATCAAGTTTGGGGTGAAGGAACTTGACTGTCCTGACCTCAACCTGATAGAATACCTTTGGGATGAATTTGAGCGGAGACTGAGAGCCAGGCCTTTTTGTCCAACATCACAAATGCCTTTCTGGAAGAATGGTCAAACATTCCCATAGACACACTCCAAACCTTGTAGACAGCCTTCCCAGAAGAGTTGAAGCTGTTAAAGCTGCCAAAAGGTGGGACAACCCAATATTGAACCCTACAGACTAAGACTGGGATGCCATTAGTTCATGTGCATTTTACACGTCTCTTTTGAACGGTGACTGACCTCATGTACATTTCCAGCATTCACACATCACTGTAATACCTAAACCAGGCAAAAATCTTTCCACTTCAGCTAACTATAGACCCATTGCACTGTTGAATGCAGATTATAAAGTCTTTACAAAATTATTGGTGAATCGAATGGTCCCCCTGTTACCTAAATTAATACATAAAGATCAGGTAGGATTCATCCTCTCGAGACATGCAGGTGATAATACCAGACGCACAGTAGACCTCATAGATATCTTCAACTCCTCACATACCCCAGCCCTGCTACTTAGTCTGGATGCCCAAAAGACATTTGATAGGCTAAGCTGGCCTTATATGATTGCACTTCTACACAACCTGGGCATACGAGGACCCTTTTTTGATGCCTTGACTGCATTATACTCCCAGCCCATAGCACAGGTCAAATTACCTTACGCCATGTCTGAGGTATTTCCCATGTACAACGGCACGAGGCAGGGATGTCCCCTAACCCCAATCCTGTTTGTACTTTGCCTCGAGCCGCTAGCAGCAGCCATTAGAATGAACCCGGACATACAGGGGGTATCTGTGAAAGGGTCAGAGTATAAACTTTCTCTATTTGCTGACGATGTGCTCTTAACGATCACTAAACCTCATTTGTTGCTCCCGATTCTACCTAATCTTCTACAGGTATTCAGTGACTTATCAGGCTATAAAATAAATACTTTTAAGACAGAAGCCTTACCCTTCAATATACCACCCCCAGATCTTCTCCTACTGCAACAAAATTATCTTTATCGTTGGTGCTCTGTTTTCATTAAGTATCTTGGTACACATATCACTCCAACCTATGCTAATCTCTATGAAGCTAATTATCCCCCTAGGGAGATCAGTGGCCTCTTAAATCAATGGGACAATTATAATATTTCCTTTTTGGGAAGAGAGAATGTATTAAAAATGTCAATATTACCGAAACTGCTCTATCTCTTTGAAACCTCCCAGAGGCCGTTCCACATGCCCAATTGAGGAGTCTTCAAAAGCCTTCCTTCAGTTTGTCTGGAATGCCAAAAGATCCCGAATAGCAAGGTCTCTTTTACTCTTATCCACACTGGAAGAGGGTTTAGGGGTACCAGACATTGGGAAATATTACTCAGCCACCCACCTCAGACAGACAGTGTCTTGGTTTTCTCTGATACCCCAGAACCGTTGGTCAGAGACAGAGTTAAGAATCAACTATGCGATAAACACCTGCTCATTACTATGCCCTTCTAAATGTGTCAATGACTACTTCCAGCTCACAGTCTCTGCTTAATTCTATGTGTTTCACTCTCAAAATATGGTCAATGTGTATCCAATTCCGACAGCTAATGTCTGATTGTTCCCCATTGTTGAATATTCTTTTCAACCCAGAGCTCCCAGACAGTCTATCCCACCTGAGGATGAGTGTATGGGCCACACACGGGATATTCCAGCTACACCATTTGGTTAACCCAGTTTCACGTAAACTCAGGTCTTTTGAGGAAATTAGGGAAAAAAACCCGATATCGCCATCTGCTTATTACGTTTACATGCAATTCCGCCACTTCCTCTATTCCTTGAATAAATCCCTGACTTTAGTGTGTCCAAAAGATTTTGAGCATTTAGCTATGAAGGGACCCTCCCAACGAGCTCTCATATCCTCTCTGTATAGACACCTTCTTAATGTAGACTCATTGATGGAAATCTCCCATCATTATATGAAAAAGTGGGTAGCAGAACTTCAAATCCCGATGTCTCTGCCTTGTTGGCGGCGAATCTGGTACTCAGCTGCAAAGACTTCCAGATGTGTGATATATAAAGAAAATCTTTACAAAATAATGATGCATTGTTATAAAACACTGGTTGTCCTAAACGCAATGAATCTGAGCCTTTCTGATCACTTCTGGAGATGTCATAAGGATAAGGGCTCCATGGCACATATTTTTTGGTTTTGTCCCCTGATTAGAGGCTATTGGGCTGTGGTTAGAGTGGTGCTGGAGCGGGTACTTGATGTTGTCCTTCTCCATGATCCATTACACTACCTCCTTGATCTCCCTTTAAAAGGGATTCCCAAGCATGCTAAAAAATGAAGCACACATATTTTAACGGCCACCAGACGAGTGATTCCTAAATTCTGGAAATCTGTTGAAACACCTCTAAATTTTTTTCTACGAACAATTTCCGCTGTACGTGAAATGGAGTATCTTACTGACCTAGCGGGCGATTACTCTGGCCAGTTCGCATCTTTCTGGGAGCTGTGGGATCAATCCCCTTATAGCAAAAGAGTTGAAATGTCTTGAAGCTTTGCCATTCACTGTATCAATTACTGTTGTTTTGCCATTTAGCCATGCTATTCTCTTATGTCTGAACTGGTTATTTGTTTTTGTTTTTTATTATGTATACGTATATGTTTTAAACTGGAATTGGTATTAGTGTGCGTACATGTGTAAAATTGGGCTCCAGCCCCCACAATAAAAAATTACAATACAAAAAAAGAAAATTAATGTGCGTGGAAAGGCAGGCGGCACAATACTTTTGTCAATATAGTGTGTATATATATATATATATATATATATATATATATATATACATTAATGCAAACAAATTTAACTGCACAGGTTTCCCCTTCTCTAATGTACAAACCCTCAAACACTTAAGAGGACATCTTCTCTTCTCATAAACACTAAAAAATATAAATGTTGCGCTATGTATAGAAAATTCAATAAAATAAATGATATACATAATAAATGAGAAAACAACCATACACATGATAAGTGATCAAATTGTGATAAATAAACAGTCAAATATACAGTCCATATAGAAGACAATAAAGCCAACTTAAATAATGGGCTCCGCAATCAATTTGTGAAACTACAAATGTTCAATAGAGAAGATGGGACTTTCAGGGTGCATGGACATGACACCACACATTAAAAGTTATATAATTTTTATTTCGTATTTTTGTAAAAAAACACAAAAAAGGAAAAAATACAGAAACATAAAAACAATTTCAGTTCTAAGAATACCAACTGAGATTCAAACTTGGTTAGGTAAATGTAGTTACTCCCTACATGTTTCACCCTCACGGGCTTCTTCAGGGGAGAACTAATTTCCCATTCCATAAATATGGTGTTGTTAATGTGAATCCATTTTCATCCAATTAATCACAAATGTGTGCAAATCACCACCATGTAAATAATTGGAGGCTTACCAGATGAAAAGACCCCTTAACTATAGGGGGTAATTTCCAGCTTTTAGTAGATAAAATACCATCTATATTTCCATAACATGTCAGGATCCATGATCTCTCAAATCATGTCAGCACACAGAATCCACAGGCATCAGTAAGTCTTCCCCATTGCAATGTCAAAATAGTGTAATGGAAAATAATGCATGCCTCTCACTGCAATATGTTAAATGTACCTTTATTTGCGCAAACAGAATCCTACTTACAGGCTTAGGAATGGTAAAAGCATTAATAAAAAAATGGCTTCCAAAGATGGCTAACAGCACAATGATGTCAGAGGGAGGCTCCGACCAATGCATTTCATCATCAAAAGACGTCTTCTGAGCCCTGGAAGATGTCTTTTGATGATGAAACGCATCGATGTAGTATCAGTGTTCAGAGGTGGACCACATTAGGGCGGGACATGAAGGATGAGTGCAATTATGGTACAACAACACATCCAAATTAACAATCCAGTTGCGATAAGGCAATCCAGCCTGGGGCCTTTAATAGCCTGTACCAATAGGTAGGACATATAATATTTACAAGTTACCAAATATTATGTTTTACAACCTATACCACTAGTGCAAGCCAGAAAAAAATGTATATATTAATATTATTGTAAAGCAATAGGCTATATGTACTGATGTTGGATATCAGGTATGTGGAGAAATGTATCACTATGTATCACATATTAAAAGTGGCTATGATGTAATCTAAATCCACATAAATGAAGTTTGATCCTATAAAAGGCAAAGAGCAAACTTAGGCTCGCACAAAAGTATTAAACCAATATATATACTGTATGTGTATAAATGTTTCAAGATAAGGCATATAAAGTATGCCATATAGATACAATGTACAGTATCAGCAAAAAAAAAAAGAAAACCAGCTTAGTAACAGAATGTGTACAAACCAAAGCAAATGTCTCGCCAGAGCATTGGTCCACCATCAACATCACCACCACACAACAAGCCATGTGTCTGTGCCTGCCCTATATGTGTCTCAAACCCGGAACAAACTGCCGGCTCATTGAGCCCAGCTGTGACTTCATCAGGTCTGGACCTCAAGTGCGCATGCTTTGACTCTTGTCACGCACTGCCCGCAAAGATGGCCATGGAAACCACCGCAGAGTAAGTTGTGCAA